GAACTTAAAAACCGCTTATCACCACCACACCGCACCCGACCGAAGGATTCCCGCCCCGCCAGAAAGAATCGAAATCGAACCACCGACATTTGACAGCGCAGGACAGAACCGCAACGGCGAAACACGAAACCCTCGCGCACACACATACATACATACACACACACTGAATCATGTGACGCTGTTAAAACTCACAGACACAGGCCTTGGTACAAAACCATCATATGCGCAGCAGCAGCGCAACAGGAAAACAGCATGCATAGATTCGCCTGCGAATTGACGGCTCTGCATTAGAGCACAAATTATTTTCAGCAACATAACAGAAAAGCAGAAATACCACCATCATTGCAACGACCCAGCGAAACAGCCCAGCACAGCTACACCCCCATCATATAGCTTGTATAAGCGCAACACCTTACTCCAGACCACCAGACGCGGAAGGCCGCGAGAAGGGCGACTTCATTTCGATTGGTGGTGAAGCAAGACAGAACGCGCTCATGCAAAAAATCAGGCGCCCTCCATTGTTGTTCCACTTCAAAGCCACTCATTGCAGCCTGCCTTCGCAGCTCCCTCAAGTGAAGTACGCGCTGAACAGCTGACAGGTCGAGGGAGAACTTATGCTGGGCCAAGCCTCGCAGCCACGCAACAAAAACTGCGACCCATCGCCACCCATCAACATTAAAACCAGGCCGCGGCCACCTTTCTGTCCGCGTCCTATTTCGCTCCAGGGCTTGCGATTCACGCGGCCGAGACCCTCTCTGAACCGGCACATCAGTTCGGGCTGTGTAGAGGGCACGCGTAAACACGACACCGTCATCACGCCCTGACAGACGAGGACTAAAGCATGCCGCGTGTCCCACCAATACGCACGCGGGACATTTCCACTATACATTCAGATAACAGCCACACAAAGGCCACACAACTGATATACACTTAAAAACAGTAAAAGGGCGCCAGTAAACCAGCCGGAAGAGTGAGCGGTTCTGGGGGCATCCGTCGCATGTCCGTTCGCATCCGCTCCCCACTCTTCCCGCTCCTCACCAACCCACGACTTCACACACTTGTGTTAACACCACCAAACAAAACCCACACGCCCCTCTTGCAAAACTGCCTGCAGGGCCAACAGCGCGCCGTGCCACAACGGGCGGCAAGCGGCGTCTTACTGACTTAATGGCCGAAACGTCCTCATCGTGTAGAGCCTCTTCTTGTATTGGCCGCAACGACCATGTTGTGTCATCGAAACAACGGAAACCTCATCACACGATGCCATCATGTAACGTAAAACCGACTCCCCTCGCTCTTATGGTGATCTCGCTCTGACTGGATGATAGCTGTGGCATCCAGCAGCCACACTTCCATGCGCATAGATTGTCGTCGTCCCGCCAATGCGCTCCCTCCATGTCCACCTTGAGGCCCGCGTGAGCACGAAGCCGGATACAGGGCCACAGACCCCCCGGTCTCACAAAGAAAAGGACGAAAAGGTGACAACAGAAGAGACCAGAGGAAAACGCCGATGCCTCACAACCGTAAGGCCCGTGCGGCCCAAACATGCAGTGCGACGCGAAGCCCAACACAACACACGACACCGATTAGTCAGCAACTAATAAACCATCTCCGGCCGCATTACCATCTCTTCGTTCTTAACCCCCATGTCCTAGGGCAGGTAAAACCTTACGATCCTCTATTACCGATCAGATCCGGCTCACGAGACACAAAAACGCAACGGGAGCACACATCAATAGGGCGCCCCCACTCAGCCTCAGCCTCACTCTCCCACTCCGCCACAGATGCCAAGCAACATCACAAGCTCACGATGTGTAGAGGCAAACTAGCGACATAGCCACCAGCTCCCAGCCACGCCCCCGCCGCTACCGCCGCGGAAAAAGCAGCAGCAGCAGCAGCAGCAGCAGCAGCAGCAGCAGCAGCAGCACTGGGATGCGTGCACAGCAGTGCGGCAGCAGGGCGGCAACAGCAACAGGACAGACGGCAAAAAGGGGATGCTGCCTGCAGCGACTACTATATGTTAGGCTTGGGAATAGCTGATGCCCCCAGTATTCCCACAGCTGCGATCCCCTCCCTCCTACCACTGCCTCGGGTCCCACAAGCCGAGGAGGACCTTATCATGAATGCTCTTGCGAAACAGCACAGCAGAAAGCCTCGAACAAAACGTACGTACGTATCATCATCTTTCAGCAACCAAACCGCTCCATATGAAAGGCATCCTTCAGCGACGGCTTTAACGGCGCGTGCGACGTGCAACAGGCAACAGGCAGGCATAAAGCATGGCATTGCGCAGCAGCAAGTGCAGCGGCGGCGGCGGCCCCTACGACAGCCAACGCTCGATTCTCCGTCCCTCTCTCCTCTTGCCAAATTGTTCTGGCTATTGCTTTCTTGTCTTCTCGAAAGCCGCTCTCTCCCTTATCCGATTTAGAAACAGAACTCCTCCTCCACTTGCTCCTCTGCAGGCCCACCGTGCTGCAACAACCAAGCCTCGCGCTTATTGCAGCAAGCTCTCCTACACAACACAGATCGTCGTAGAGCATCAAACAGCCCAGCTGCATCAAAAACGTCTCCCTGCGTTCTCATCCGACATCCTTTAAAGTTAATTCCCGCCGCGCGCTGCACCCTCTACCGCGCGTCCACCCTCTACCGCAGATTCCATCACACCATCTCCCTCCTCTGTAAACTACTACTACTACTACAATTACTACTACACCACCAACACGCAGTGTGCTTTCACCAGGCCATGACCATGACGACAACAAAGCACACCACCTCATTCGGCCTCGGGTTAGCAGCAGTCAGTGCCCACTTTCAAGCAGCAGCAAGCATATGCCATCGTCGGTGGTGCCACAGCTCTCGCTCCCGTGACACCCCTCGGCCACACACACACCCAACGAGCTTCAAAAAGACTTCTTCCGCGCACATTGGATCATATACCATAACGTAAAAGCGGCAAGTGAAATAGCGAAATAGTCCGCAGCTTAACCGGACCACTCGCCTTTCGCAGATGCACATCAGTGAAACGTGTGTGTGTATGTATGCGTGTATTTGAGTGAATCATATCTAACGCACGTGCGTGCGTGTGTGTGCGTGCGTGTTAAGCCACGAACCAAAAAAAAGCACCAGGGTGTCGCACTTGTCGCACAACCCCATGGTGAACTCCACTAGGCAGTTGGCAGTATTTTCATATTGGTCGTCGCTACCCAGGTAAGGAGACAACAACAAACTGCACTACGACTCATCGCATCATCAGTGTCATCGACAATTTTGTTGACCGATCCATGTCCGATCAGTTAAAATAAGGCACGAGGAGCTGCACACACACACACACACTCGTTATGTGTGTGGCCAAAACACACGGTTTAGGGCCCTTGCCTGAGAAGGAGAATCTCCAAAATCGTCCACAATTGTCCAAAGCCAGTTCCTCCGTGCTGTATTCAATTCCCGAGGAGAAAACTGGGAGAAACCTCGCCGAGCAGCAATGGCTGCTGTCGGCCCTAAAACGGGCATGGGGGCGCTGCAGCAACAAGACCGGAGGCCATAAGTGTGAGCGCGCTCTCCTTTCCTGCGATCATCATCATAACCACACCAGAACACAACCAGGGCACAAAGGCATCCGACGCAACCCACATCGCCAAAAAAAACTTCGCATCTCCCATTATCGAAGGGAGGTTGCGAGGGGAGAAAGATCGAGCGAGGGGCGTCATCGGCTGTCCCTCATCCTCGCCGCAGGGACAGCTCCAGCTGGTACCGAAGGCGGCTGTCGCTGAACACGCACACACCTTTTCAGATACACCAGATCTGTCAATCAGTGCCGCACGCGAAGCTGCTGTCCTGCTGTCCTGCCCAAAAACGCTGCTTGATTAACGACCTTCTGTGGCCCCGTGACTGATCGACCAAACGTAGGGGGCTCCATGCAGGCTGGCTCCGACAACACTACGCGACTGTCGCCACCATCATCATCCTGCGGAGAGGAATCTCGATAGCCCCCTCGGTAGCCCCCTCGATATCCACAGGGGTCATGCGAGACAGCTGTGCTTCTGGGCCACCCCGCAGCAGCAGACCCACCGCGCCGCTTACATGCGCTGCACGAGCATGTTAGGCAGGTTACCGAATGCGGCCGGCAGGCTATTGGTCTGGGTATCCAAACCACCGTCCAGGTTCATTTCCGAGTCCTCTACCTACACACAGCCAAGAAAAGAGACGATGTGACACACACGCAAGTGACCACACCGAAGTGAAGAGAGGAATGAAGTGAAGAGAGGAATGAAGTGAAGAGAGGAATGAAGTGAAGAGAGGAATGAAGTGAAGAGAGGAATGAAGTGAAGAGAGGAATGAAGTGAAGAGAGGAATGAAGTGAAGAGAGGAATGAAGTGAAGAGAGGAATGAAGTGAAGAGAGGAATGAAGTAAAGGAGAGGATGACCGGCAAATGGACAAAGTGGCTAGGTTACTAAAAAAATCTCTCGTCCTAGATGTCACTTGCAGAACAGGTAGGCAGACGTTCACTTCACCGACTCCAGCGGCTCCCAGCTCTCTATCTAATCGTGCGCTACCGACAAGCATCGTATATTTGGTATTATCCAGGAACGCTATGACGAAAACGGTGCAACGGGTGACGCATGAGACGAGCAGGGCCCGAATAACACGGGGACACGTAGCCCCATCAGCCCCACTTGCCACATAATAAATATAGCGCATACACACACATAAAACCAAAAATAATATAGCGCATACACACACATAAAACCCAAAATCATAGCTCCTCGTTCCATTAAATTAATTCGTTGTGGATAACATATATTGCAAAAAAGTCGTTGTTACTAATATTCCAAAAATTCACAGCTGGAATCTACATGCGGTTGCATCTGAAAGGTTGCATGCTGCACCAACCGCTGTCATGCTGTCCATGTGTTGTGTCCACTCACACTCAGGGTTGTGTGTGTTGACACCTGAAAACAGTACCACCATATCCACCCACCACCGCCACCCACCACTGCAACCCACCACTGCAACCTACCTTCGGCATCGCGATGTCGATGGCGATGGTGGACCCCTTCAGGCGGTGCTGCCCATGGCTTACGACGCGCTGGATGGCCGCGTCCGTCTCAAAGGTAACGAAACCGAAGCCGCGGTGCTCGGCCTTGTTGTCCTTTGCCTTGGGCAGGTACACGTCCATAACGTAGCCGAAGCGCATGAAGTACTCCTTCACGTCGGCCTCGCCGGTGTCCTTGGTGAGCTTGCCGATGAAGATGCGAGGACCGGCCCTGTGATGGACGGGGGGGGGGATGCGCCAGGGGGGGAAGGGGGGATTTAGGTGGGATTTAGGTCAGGCGGGGTGAGACGTAAGCGGGTGGGATGTAAATATACAACTCGCCGCATGCACTTGCACCCGATAACTCCTCCTCATGTAGTGTAACCCTTACCTCCTTCCGAACTTAATAAAAATCAACCATGCTCTTTCCTTTACACACTCTTGGCAATCACACCCTTGGCAATAAGACCGGCCCCAGTCACCGGCCCCACAATTGCAGCGAGAAATGCCCATTCCCCCCCCATTCCGCGACTCTCCAGCACAACCATCGCTCCATTCTCACCACCTAATAAAAGACGTAAAATCCTAGCAGTGATTAGTTGATTAGCCCAGAATGATCCCCCCCTACCTTGCGCTTGCAATGGCAGGGTTTTCCAGGCGCTTTAGCGTCGAATCCAGGGAGCGGCGTCCAGATGCCGCCACCATCATCTGCTGGACTGCCGCTGCGGCGCCCAGGGAGTTCAGCTCCTGCAGCATCGTCTGGCCGGAAATACCGCCCAGGCCCGACGATTTGCTCGTCAGCCCATTCGACAGCAGACTGGTCGCCGCCGTCAAGTCACCTCCGAGCCCCACCATCGGCATGGTGCCATTCAGGCTGCTGATGCCGTTGCTGGTTAGCGCCGTCATGTGCGCGTTGACGCCGTTTACGTTCTCGCTGAGAGAGGCGGTCTTGGCTAGCGTCTGCAGCGCCGCCGTCGTGGCAGCTGCTGCAGCGGCGGCGGTTGAGCTCGTGCCGTTGAGGCCCAGCCCCAGGTTGATGCCCAAGGCCTGAGTCGTCGCAGCCCGCAGTGCTGGCGTTACTGCGGATGCCAGGCCTGCGGACCATCGGGTACATGATGGCAAGCGCAAAACACAAGGGGGAGGAGGGGGGAGAGGGGGAAAAGGGAACAAAAACACATAATACCGGTCAATTCAAGACTGCCTCGGGAGATTGATAATAGAGAGAAAAAGGACTGTGACGTGCGGAATGTGTGTGGACCACACAGACGATAAATACTCGAACGCAATTGAAAACCCACAATTCCCGACGGGAAACGGTGGGGGGTGGTGTCAGTTCTGATATCGGAAAATCGGAAAACACACATACATGGCGCTGTCGTACCAGTACGACATGGGAAACATGCGCCGCACCGTTTGCATGGTCGATCAGCGATACGCTGGTTGTCAGAGATGTGGGGTGGTTGAGCTCCAACAAACGACCCAACCCATTGCGGCCCGTCATACCGCCAATGTCCCGCTCCTCAGAAAGCGAGCGCAAGTTGCTGAAGGTCGCGTCGATGGCGCTTGACGAAATCAGGTTGTTGTTGATGTTGACGATGCTGCCGAGCCCGGGGCCGATGATGCCCGACCCTGCACGGATATAATTCGACTTCTGTCAGATGATATGATATGATTTTAGTTCTGCCAATTAATGACATTCATCCAATGCAAAAAAAAGGCCCAAGGTGAGTATTATGTCCCAGCTGCACCCACCTGCATGTGCTTACGAAATTTTGAATGGAAATGGGGCGACATTCATGCCAAAACAGAATCGGTTATATAATACCGATCAAGAGTCGGTTGTCAGAAACAATCGACTCAAATGATGATGCTAGTTAGGACTTCTTCCGCAGGAAACGCAAAAAATGTACATGTACAATAAAACAACCTCGTCTGCTTAAATTTGGACCCAGTGGATTTAAAAACCCAGGAAAATTACTAGCAGCTCTATCCAGCAGCACCCACCAGCACCGTGCCCATACTCCGCCCCTAACACATCCCACGAACCACCCCCAAACCTAGCCAGCCCCCCCCCCGCCTCTCCCCCACCCCCCCGTGGCAAAGCTAGCTAGCCCCCTGGCCCCCAGCCGCCTCCGATATCTCTCAACGGGGGACCAACTGACCATTATCAAACGACCGCCGCTGTCCAGGTCCCATCGGCAGTCGCGCAAAGATGTTCTTGAGCGCCGCCGGCTCTTCTTTAGGGGTGGCGCGGTCGATGGCGATTTCGTGCCCGTTCATCCAGTGTTTGACCGCCATGACCTTCTCCACGGAGTCCGGTGATGCGAATGTGACGAACCCAATCCCGCGGTACCCCTGCTTTGAATGGTCCTTGGGCATATACGCATCCTGGAGCTTGCCAAACCCCTCGAAGTATTGCTTGAATTGGGACTCGGTCACGGAGGGGGGAATGCGCGCCACAAAGATTCGCGTGGTGCGTGGCGGCGACGGCTCCCCCTGCGGTACACGGTACACGGTACACGGGGAGAGAAACGGGGAGAGAAACAGGCACGGGGGAGGAATAACGGGGGAGAGGCGGGGTCAGAAGCGGGGGAAAGACGAACCACACACGATTGAGGCTGCTGCCAGGGCAAGAGAGTAGCAAACGTAAAAACTGACCGAAACGGGGGAGAGGTATAATAATAAAGTGCGGGGTCCCTTGCGTCCCGTGAGGGGTGTGATATGCCCTTTGTGGTTGGCATCATCAAGCCGCAAAGGGCATCATCAAGCCCGTCATGAGAATGAACAACCAAAGAATGAGTGTTCTCGGGATGGTAGTGTGTGTGGGGTGGGGGGGGTGGGGGGGGAGCCGTGAGGTGGTACAGAGGGTGGGTACAACAGGACCGCGGTGCAAGAGGTGTATATATATCAAGAGGTATATATCAAAAGTGTGGGGGGTATATCAATCCGACACGCGGTACCGACCTTGGGCAACGCAACCTTGGCTTCACAGCGACGGCCGTCAATTGTGTGCTCAACAGAAAGAGCTCGCGTTGCCGATGCTGGATCTATGAAAGTCACGAAGCCAAAGCCGCGGCTTTTGCCAGTGTACCGGTCCTTCATAACCTCGGCACACTCGAGCGTTCCGTATTGGGAGAAGTACGCTTTCAGAGTGTCCTCGCTGCAAAGCAAGGCAAAAAAGGAGTCCGTCCAAGTAGTATGCTTAATAGCATAGTGATATCTCTTGGCAAGATGTCGGAAGGCGCATACCCGTTTGGTAAACGAACGGTCATAAACATAAGGACTCAATGGAGATCAAGCTGACAGATCACACCGAATGATGTTCCCCTCATGCGCCGAGTGCCGACTCACGTCGTTTCCCAAGGCAGACCCAGCACAGCCAGTTTCCGTGGCTGCTCGCCATCAGGACTAGTTCCGTTAAGTTCAATATTTTCCTTCTCCATGTCGACTCGGTAAGAAACCAGCGGTGAGGTAGAGTTCGAAGCTTCACTGGTTCCGGTGTTAGATGCTTCTCATCAACTTCAAGACCCTGAGGACATAAACAAGTTACGGGACCTCGTTCATATGGAAGTGAAATTGCCGAGAGCAGCCATGGAACATACAGACTTTCCCGAGGCTCGCGACCCTACGCCGCAACAATGCGATAGACACCGTTGGCGCACGAAACATAGGAAAAGAAGAAGATGCGCGTGCTCCCTCCCTGCTAACAAGGTGGGTAACAACCATGCTCAGCGGTTGGCGCCGCACCTTAGGCTTCACTCCAGAGCACGCTCTTCACAGCCAAGATAGCAGCTCCTGTAATAGCAACTAAAGGAATTAAAGCTTGCTCCGACCAGGTACTCTTGCGCGACGGAACAGTTGGAGAGCTCAAAAGAAGCGTAGATATCGCAAATAATGCAGCAGGATATTTGCAGCTGCTTGCAGACCTCCGAGAGTATTTCAGATAAGACAGATATGCCTTCACAGTACTGAAGTATGATCCATCGGGACAGTCGACTAGTTTCACGGGATTCACCAAGATACGAAAATCGAATCGGGAGCGCCATAAGGCCTTTCAGGAGATAAAAAATCATCCCTCTGACTTCCGAACCGAGTCTCAACTTCTCAACTAAGGACGCAACCAAAGGCTCGTATCATCTAGATTTGACGCTCTACATGTTTGTTTGCTTGGACACTCGCATGCAGTTAGGAGGCCTTCCGTTGTATGTAAGCATGCGCGGAAGGGCACATCACGTCCCGTTCTGTACAGTCATGAAATAATAGAACGTATCTCATGTAGTAACTAAGCATGACGGGACTGGACGTGAGTAAGTCGTTGGAAGTCCGCAATGCTATGCCGGGAAACGAGAAGCAAAACAGAGTCCACCGCAGTTTGCATCGTAGTAACACTGGAAGCAACCTTGTGGATACCCCATTTCACTATCAATTCGTTCCTTGCTTGCATGGCATCTGTTTGCTGCGCTCGTGACACCGCAAACCGGAAACAGCGCAGACCTGAAACGCAACGACCGGGCAGCACCGCCGGAAAACTCCCTGATTACAGCTGATCGTTCAGGTCTTCATGCATCCCTGCTGTTGCTTTTGCCCTGCGATACCGTACGGGCCTACAAGGAAGGCACATTTTAGTCAACTACTCTCCACGGGGATCCACACCTTCAGCTCATCCCTTCCCAAAATGAGCACTTTCATTCCCCAATCCTTCCGTCTTTAAGGTAGTCTCGAGTATATTAGCCGTATCCATATAACAGGTGCGGATAGGGACCGGGTGGTGCGGTGTCCTTGTGGTGGTGCGTCGCGCGTGTTGGAGTATCCCCCTTGCTGTCAGGGCCTAACAACGACCCGCGATGCCTCCTGGGACTACAGTGGCTCCCCCCAGAGCATCAAGGCAATACGAACAAGCAGCGAAACAATGAATTTTTATGCTCGAGTAGAAAACATGTATCTTGACTTCCTCAAGGAGCCGATGAGGTATGATACCTTGTAATACCCGATTTGATCTTATTTCGCTACTCAACTCTCGCGACTCTCGCGAACAACCCTAGGACTTGCACGTGCAGATGTGCTGATGTGCTGATGATGCTGGAACATCTGACGAGCGCCTGACTAATGAGCCGCGTCCTGGTTGAATAAGGCCCACAGTGTTGTGCGGGAGGTGTTTTCCTTGGAGTGGTGCATACGAGACCCGATCGGGGTCCACTGGTGTGTAACAATCTCAAACGGAAGAGTGACATGATATGGGACCTGGGAGCCTGGGATCTTGGGAGCCTGAAGGTGCCTAGGAGCGTGAAGGTGCCTGGGTGCCGTGTGCACGCCTGGATGCGGCTTATTTCCCTCCCTTTCCTTCGTTGCCACGGACTTCGTCTGAATGCCCTGTACCGCGTCTTCTTCAAAACTGCCTTTCCACACTCAACGGGATACGTCCTCTTCGCCCCAGCTGCAATCCTTCTTATCAAGCCTCCTGCATTTCTTCCTACATCAGTCGTACGCCTCGCACGATACAAGTACATGCTGTGTGCCGCCGGCATGCTGACCATTGGGATACGCTCCATACCAATACCAATCTCATAATACCGGAATAATAACAAACTACCGCAGTTTTCTGTTGTTTAGGGCGAGCCCTACTCGCTTCGAAGCTGGGAGGTTTACATTACTTTACTACAAAGTGTTCTTTTCGTCACACGGTGCATTTAGCAGGACGTGAACGGCGCAGCTGAAATGGGCTTAAAACTAGGTGTACGACGCCGTACATGATGACCCACATCATCTTGCACAAGATTATCTCTTTTTACATTACACAGCTTTCTTTAAATTTATTTTCCGGACAGTTCTCGAAACAGGTTACATTGGACCCCGATCAGTTTCCGATTCGTGTTGGTTTTACAGTGGGCTCCAGCTTACAGGCTAGTAAAGAGTGCGATTGTTACAGCAGAGGAACCTCAGAAGCAGACCACACATGCCCTGACAAGTACAGGCAGGCTTCAGGAACCATAATATTATAAAGCGCAGGCTGAATTGGCAGCAGGAGAAAACATCGGGTTAGTTGTAAAGTCGATACCACTGAAGGGGTCTTCATCACACCAGAAGGCATGAGAGACTGCTTGCCTGCAGTGATCCATTCAACCCTCGGTAGGTGCAACATCCTGGTGAGGACCCGCACATCAATGAAAGGGCAGCTGCTCCTCCATGCCATATGGGTGTTCAGCCCCTGGTCATGGCTCCACACACTTGGGTGCTGGGCAAGCTAATTAAGGGAGGAGGGAACCTGGGAGGAGCCACACCTCCCCCTGTACCCAGCCGCACGAGAAAAGCTGGAGTTCTGGTTCAAGAGCTTTCAAAACCTCAGTTCCAACAGTGTCCAAATCCCAGCCGACGCAGCCGTGTGCTGCTCACAGATCTAGCTGCCCGCACGGGTTAGCTTGCTGTGTCTGGTCCCCTTAAAGAAGGGGCAGAAGGGACAGAAGGGGCAAGAGGGGACCTCCTGGCCCTGGTGGCCACACAAGTGGTGCACAAGACCTGAGGTGCACCTAGATTGCCTCAGATGATGGTGCCGGTGGTTGCCATCATGTCCACTGTTTCTTCCAGCTTGATGTTTAAGAGCCTAGGATTTATGATATTTCCGAGTAGGGACTCCATTCCCTCTTATCATCCTTTGTCGAGGCGAATATCATACACACAGTTCATACAACTATCCAAGTCATCTTTTCGGTTATAGCCATACTAAGCAGTACATGGCTATGGCTATGGCTATATCGATCCGCACACATACTCGATTCCGTACACGAGCTGCCCATTTGCGGCCAGACTAGTATTGTTACTCTTCTCTGGACAATGCGACTCTCTTCGCAGGAATATCTACTATTGTACGGCATCTTATCTCGGGCACCTCCGACGGACTGCAAGCGACTATAAAACCCCAAGGGAACCCCCCGGTGTTTATCAACACCTTCATAAGTGGTCTAGTCGATAAATCCGTCTAAGTAACCAGGTAGGCTCTCACATGATGCTGCTGCTGGTAGTGCTGCTGCTGCTGCAGAAATCTGGCATGCATGGATATTTCCATTCCACGATCCAAGACAGACAGATCGGCTCATACGCGTCTAGATGTCCAGCTACACATGTACCCGTCAGATGGCAAGCAACCAGGAATTCACATGGTGAAGTAAAAGCATTGGAGGTACTTCCGCAGGAGGTACTCCCGCATGTCACAACATTTATCCCGTGCTAAGCAAATCGCAAGCTTATGCAGTTTAGGCTTTGCTGTTGGGCAGGTGACAAACAGAGCACGCAAGGGACGGTGTTATGTACCTAGGGAGGAGCGAGTATGCCCCTGCTGCGGCACTGAAAGCCATATTGAAGATGAGAAGCATAATTTGCTGGACTGTCCGGTGTACGACAAGAAATCAGATCTGATATGGAACTTCCACTGCTTTGAGCGTATGAAGGACGCTATGAAGTGGGAGCCTGAACGTCTGGTGATGATGCTGAAGAAAGCATGTGGTCCCACTGCACCTCTATCATTTCTTTTGGTCATTAGTATCCTGTGTCGCCGCCTCCGAGTTCTTCGGACACTCGGCGCAAGTCGATTATTATCGATGGCATTGCGACACACTGGACAGCAATCTGGCCGTGTTCCTAGATGTGGACATGCTGCAGAATTGCGCTTTCCAGGCGCTTCTGCAGCGCCACCTTAATCCCGAAGTCCGTTTGGATGAGGTCAAGCAGCTCTGGAGCGAGGGCATCGCCAAGAAAGCCGGTGTCCTTCCGGCTCGGCGGCCCCTCCTTCCAAGTCTGCCCTCACTCCAGAGCTGCTTGCCTCTCC